TGGAATATGACTACGCCATATGATTACAGTAACTTAGAACCGCTTTAAATGTCATGATGTCACCATTAGACATAATCCTGTGAGCTACTTAGCATTCCCAGCTACAGAAATCTAATGCTGTGGTTAACAGTGGTGGACTAGAGCTCTCTAGCTGAAAATTCTAAGTACTTTACCAGCATCCTCTAGTACAGAAACTAGAACAAATCAACTTGGGAGAGGGGGTATTGTTAGCATCTCAGCTACCCTGGGCATCAAGCAGGGTACCCTGCACCTTTATCATACCTTTGAAGGTACCCTGCACCTTTATTAGGTCCATCAAAAGTTGCACCTGATGAAGGGCAATTTTGTCTGTTGGTGGAGCTAGGAAACTGTTGCTGGGAGAAGGAACAAAATGGCATCCTATGATGCTAAAACCTACCTATTCCTGTTCTATGGAACATTCTTTAGCTGTTCAGAGTAGACAGACTTAGTTCCCAGTGCATGACAAGCTACCTACCATCCTCTGGCTCCAACTTGGCACATGTTTCAGCTGTCATCAGGCTGGCCATAAAGCGATGATTGCTGGGGGGAGTCGGGGCTCGGACCCTTGAAGTCCCAGTCATGGAGCAGGAGTTGGGGGCCCTGAGGCTCTGTAGGGAAGGGCAGGGTGGTTGTGGGGGCAGCGGAGGTGGCACAACATCCCGTGTGGTAGCCAGATGCTCAGGTTGCTGTTCGGAGTCCAGGTCGATGGCGTCAAGACGAACCTGTGCAGTGCTGCGGGGCTGGCGCTCATTCTGTACAGCTGGAGGCAGAAAAGCGGAGAGGTGAGCAGCCAAGGAAGCAGATGGATCACTGTTCTCTTGTCCTAGTAGTGCTCAAAATACAGTGGGCCCTTGGTATCCACTGGTTTTTGGTTTCGGGAGCCCCTGTGGATACCAGAATCCATGGATGCTCAAGTCCCATTAAATACAATGGCATAGTAAAATGGTGTCCCTTATATAAAATGACAAACTCAAGATTTGCTTTTGGGAATTTAAATATTAATATTTTCAAGCCATGGATGCTTGAATATGTGGATAAAAAAAATCCATGGATATGCAGGGCTGACTGTACTAGTACCTTTTCTTTCTCTTCTTATGTAGTGATTATTTTAAAGGCTACCCAGGGTCCTGGCCTGGCTCATTTTGGAAAGGAAATTCGAGGGATGTAGCATGTAGTTTTAGGAAGGGTCTCCACACCACCAACCCTTCACCCGCTGTTCTTTGCCTGTCCACACGCAACCAATACAGTCTTTGACCATACTTAAGCTTGGGAAAGACAATTATTTTGGATGACACCTCCCAGAATCCTTTAGACAGCAAGGCCACTTGCTGGGCTGCCTGCGGGATTATAGGAAGCAGTAGTCCAAAAACTTAACTTTTCCAAGATCTCTTCCCCCATCCTTCATAGCTAGTCCACCGTTCATCACCAGTGTCCTCCAGTACAGAAACTAGAACAAATCAACTTGGGAGAGGGGGTATTGTTAACATTTCGGCTACTCTGGGCATCAAACAAGGTACCCTGCACCTTTATTAGGTCCATCAAAAGATGCACCTGATGAAGGGCAATTTTGTCCTGGCATCTGTTGGTGGAGCTAAGAAACTGTTGCTGGGAGAAGGAACAAAGTGGCATCCTGTGATGCTTAAACCTACCTATTCCTGTTTTATGGAACCTGCTTCCAAAAACTGACTTAACAGTCATTCCAGATGTAGTTGTTGTTTGTTTTATTCATTTATAAATT